TGGATTCCAACAGTGCTTAGAGACATGGAGAAACAAAATGAAAGAGAACCAATTTCTCAGTATTTATTCCAATGAATTTGAATTTTAGACCCATTGAAATGACAAATAGATTAAGTACTATCCTCTAAAACTCATCCCTACCATCCCCAAAAAAGCTTCCACATTTTTCAGAACGTTGGGCAAATTTCTATGTTGTCAAGGTGGCCAGCTGCAAAATTATTAGCTCACATTTATAACCATATGGGACAGGGAAGTGTTGAAAACTTCCAAATTCAGGTATTAGACACATGAATGAGGAATCTGAGCTCCCTTCCCCTGTTATCAATCAAACCTCCAGGAAATGGGGCTAGAGGTGTCCTGGACCACACAGTGACCATGCATAGACACACTACTCTGGACTTATCCAGTCTGCAAATATTAGTGACAGATCTGAGAACAAAGTTAAATATGTCAAAAATGAAGCTTTAAGAATGCTGAAAAAATGTGCCAATGTATACTGACTTCAGAAGATATCTACTTTAGTAGATATTTTTCTGCAGACATGGCATGGTTTAATTTTGGCATATCCAAATGTAGCATTTCCGTCACTCATTTTAAAATTAATCAGAGTTTAGAATGAAGGAAGATGATAAAACTAATGCCAAAGGAAATGTTTAATTTCATGTCAAATAAGTTTTGGTGACCTAAGCAGATAAGCTTTTGTTTTCACGTTGACAGAGCCTGTCCTCAACATTACCATTACTTGATCAATACTGAGATATTTTGCATAAGTTATTTTATTTTAGTTACCAAATAAACTTTTATTTTATTCTAATTCTAAAGAAAACATTTCAGTGTTGTCAGACTACAAAATGCATTTGCTGATACATTGTGAAATACTGTCACTATTTGAAGATTATTTTATTATTCAACTTTTATATAACTTTTCCTCATTTGTTTCTTTTACATTTTTCTCCTGTCAGTTATATTTTTTTTCTTTTTCTTACACTGAGACCTGCCATTTTTCATCTGGTTTCCTTGTGATTTTTTTCTTAGTTGACCTTCACGTATCTCTTCTGTTATTTTTAAAGTCATTCTCCATTTTGTCTCTTCTTGTTATTTTATGTCAGTATTTCCTCTCCTCATCTATTCGCTGCATCTAATCTGTTCTGTTTCAGTGAGGGCCTTGGAGAGAGGGTTTAACTGGACTTTTTGATTTGCATTTTTCTTTAGTAAGCATAGTTGACAAGAAATTTTGGTATTTTGTTTGTTTTGTTTTGTTTGTTTGGGTTTTTGTTGTTTGTTTATTTTTGCATAGATTACAAAGGAAATTGTAGAAAAGGTTGTATTTTGGGGATGATGATCTTGCCGACATTGTTAAAGCTGGGTTAGGTTGTTGTACTAAGTTCTTCAAAAGACTAACTCTTGGAACCTAAGTGAAAAGAGGATGAAGAGCAGGTTGTTATGTTTTTGTAAGAACACAGCATGAATGGTCTGTGATGTACACTAACTAGGAGTTGATTTCTGGATGAAATCTGATACGTTATTTTGATTTAGCAATCTCTGTGTTATGGGGATAGTCTTTTCACAAAAAAGGTTTCCTCCTACTCTAATAATTCTTCTTCTACTCTGATAATTACTAGACTTTATTACCAGCTTTTATTCCCACTTTATAAATGGAAAGGGGTGGCAGGATGTTATTTCTGGGGAAGATGAGGGTAGGAGTATTTTAGTGTGCTTTTCACTGTGGTTCACCAAAACCTGAATGTGATGACTCTGCAGGGCCAGTTTGCAAACCTTTGCCCAAATGGTGCTCGAGTGGCAGTGATTCTGGAGTGGGAAGCCAGCAGCGTCATCTTTAGATTCATTTTGCTTTGTGAAGGTCTGTGCTAACAGAGTTATAGTGTTCTTTCAACGTAACAAGTTTGTGTGCTGGAGTCCAGTGGAGGCCTCAGTCAAATATGAAACACGTGGGAATCATGGGCAGGTGTGAGCAACAGCATTGCTTCCCCATCTGCCTCTGATCCCTGCTATGGCAGACCCTGTGTTGGCGAACAAGGAGGGTACTGTCTCACTGCAGCCTCCCTCTGAAACAGTAGCCTCATTGTGGGACTAAGGATGGATAGAACCTGTGGAAGAGACTTGCCACAGCATGGCAAAATATCTGTCTTTGCTTCTTAATGCATCTTCTTTTTTAATGTTTATGCAGCTTATTTTCTTTGGTGTGTACATATTAAATGAAATTTCTTATCCGTTCTACATTGGAAAAAGCTTTTTTTTTGTTGTTTCAGGCCATTTTCCAGTCATATTTTATTCTTAAATATAATTTAAGTAAAAATGTATTTGCAAACCTAGGCTTGATCTAAGCAAATGTTCTGAAAAGGTGAAATTTTAATTTATCTGGACTGATAAATCAGGGATGATTGATACTTTTTGGTATTTCTTTATTTTGGTTTTACTTATTAAAGTGTATTCTTTTGTAGCCAACTAGGAAACCAGGATTGCTTTAGTAAGGGTGTATGCATGTCTGATGTTGGAAAACTGCTACATGCCTGCAAAAACAAGTAATTTTTTTGAAACTTGAAATTTTTTTGGTACTGTTTTTTAAAGTGCTTTTTTTTTTTTAAAAAAAAAAAAAAAGATAACATTTAAACTTCATAAAATTGTAATTTCTTTGTACTTCTTATTGATGTGAAAATAGTTCTGGGAACCTTGTATAACATGCATATTTGTATCAGCTTTGAGAAAATAATCAAGAATTAGGAATATCTGTCAAATCATCATGCATACCTATTGCTTGCTGGTTTTCTTCAAATATTTACAGCATTCTTGTAGTTATATACACCTAAGAATATGTATGCTAAAAAAGCCACAATGTGATTTATTTAAAGTTGTACTGAGAGAGGTGATATAGCTGCAGGCAGGGAAGACTGGGGTGGAGAAGGTAAGAAACAACAGCTCTGAAGAAAAAAAAATAAATGAGGCACTGAGATAAAGCAAATTCCAAGAAAGATTCAGGACCTTGAGAAGAATAAAGAAACTACCTAGGTTTGGTGGCTGGAAAAGGTAGTTACATGGACAATGTATGTGTTGTATCCATAACGATTGATTTATGATATTGTTTTAACTTTTTGCATTTTACATTTCTAATTTTTTAACATTTTAGCATCTAAAATATGCAAGGACTTCTTTTCCCTGCCTAGTTTCATAAAATCATGTTGTCATAGCTGTGACACACTCCAGTTTTCCTGTCTCACTAAAAAGCCAGAGTTGTGCCATGTCAGAGCTTCACCATTTAGTTTCTTCACTTCTGCACAGTCCCAAGAAAAATAAAAATTAAAAAAAGGAGAAAAAAAAAGGAAAAAAGAGGAAAAAAATAAATAAATACATTTTCAATATTAGTTGATGCATAAGTTTTGGCAAAGAACATTTGGTTTTAAAAATGCAGTTTTCCTGGAAGATGCCAGCAGCAGTTTCTGCAATCCAACATGGTAAAGCTTCCTGTTTCTCTAATTGATGTATTTTCCCTGAGCAGCTTTGCATTAATATCATATTTGGGAACAGAAATTATATATACAAAGTTTCAAGGGGATGGCTGAGAGAAGAGCATATCAGAGTGTCAAGCTACCTTTGGCTGGTAGAAAGCTTTTGGATGCTGAGGTGTACTGCTACAGGAGATGTCAAGGTACTTAGGCTGGATGAGAAAGGATAATTGGACATACCTAGAGAAATCAGAAAGCTGCTGGGGAATACAGGCTTGAAGCAGGAAGACGTGGTTGGTACCAGATGTCTTGGTTCATCAAAACTCAGGAAGTTTTGCTGCTCTGAAGAAGGGAGTAAGGCAAAATGAGGTATTAAGAAGAACTCAAAAGAGAGTCTCTTAGGCTCAAAACCAGGATGTGTTTGAGGAAATATTGGGACTCTAGGGAGATATGAGCCACCTGTTTACTAATGAGCAATTAAAGCATGCATGGCAAGTGAGTAATTACTGTAAACAGTAGAATTCTTCATGCTTTAGCTTGTCTGGTGCTGTCACACCCAACGGTATTTGTCTCATGGACAATCTGTAGACAATCTTTCTCTTATTGGAAAGCACGTTTTGCAAGAATTGTTTGCCTTCCAGGGGCAATCCCAGAGTTCATTGCTGGTTCCCTTGGTAATTTCACATCCTCTTGCCTTTTTGAATACTGTGTACCATGCCTGCAGCAGCTACCCATAATAACCTCTTACCAGGTTCAGTAGGAGTGAATTCACTGTTGTTTACACTATTGATTTGTTTGGTTTTCATTCAGCAGCATACTGCACATGCGGGTTGCGTGCATGTCTAGCATGTCTATTATGTGTAGTACATGTGTAGCAATGTGTATCACTGGAACAAAAATTCTTTGGCAACAATTTTTTTTTGTCTTAAAACCCCTTCTTAATTTTTATGAAAGTGGTATTGTAATGAGAATAGAGACTGTTTAATGCATTATTAATCTTGACAATTTAAGGAATGTTTACATCTCTAGTTGGGCAATAACACTTGAAAATAGCTTCATTAATAACTTAAGTGTATATAATATAGTAATTTAAGTTAATAATTAAGCTAATTCAGGTGCAATGGTTAGGTGATTTTTGACGCATATTCTCAAACTAGCTGCTGATATTGCAGTCATGTTGAAATCCTTGAACAGGAGCAGGTACACAAAGCAGTGCTGGTGTTTTGGTATTCCTTTGTAATGTCTAGAGAAAAACTGATTAATTTATCTAATAGCTTTTTAATTTTTCAAGGTACAATGGCCAGTAGTTTCAGGTTGATTTGTGAGAAATTCCCCTATATCTTACTGATTCTACACCTTTCCAACTAGAAAAGGATAGACGGTAATAAAAGAGTTTTTTTCTTTTGTCCACCTGTTGTTTTCAAACTAGATCTGTTGTGCTTCTTTCTTACAATCTGAAGCAGTGGATGAGGCTTAACCTCCCTGAAAGAACTATGCTTGTTTTTGTTTTTGTTTTTGTTTTTTTTTTGCTATCAACAGGCCAAGCTCTGATAACAGGCGCCACACCATCCGGGAGAGGATGTCCAGTACCAATGAGAAAGGGAGCCTGTCCATGGAATCCACCAAAGAAACTCGGTACTGTGCTGTCTGCAACGACTATGCTTCAGGCTACCATTATGGGGTCTGGTCTTGTGAGGGATGCAAAGCTTTCTTCAAAAGGAGTATTCAAGGTAATAAAGTGATAATAATCAAGTGAGTCATCCTTACTCTTTACTCTTGAGGAAACTGAAGCTACTTGAGATTGCAGCCTGAGCCCAGGATGGTGACATTTACTGGGTTTTCATTAGCAGTTGCTGTGCTCTCCCATATATTTGTAGTTCTGTATTTGGGGAACAGTTCTAGCAGGTAAATAATAGGTTGTTATTTAGTCCAACCTCAGTGAAGGAAAGAAAAGCTTCTTTGTGTTGTCATTTCTTAAAGTATATCTGACCATGGAGGCGGTGAAAAATCTGATTTCAAAATCTTTATTGGATCACGATGGCTCTTACAGGCTATGCATATCTCTCCTTTGTGATCATGTTCCTATTCAAAGCAATATTTTAAAAATTCCCTGTCAGATGATTAATTCATGCTGGTTGATTTATTAATCTTAATGTAGTGCTCCATTAGCCAGATGGTTCAGTTCAAGTCTCAACTCCTTGAAGATGTTAGATGTCTTTTGAGAACCAATATTGAAAAGGACTGATGAAATAACATTTGTGCCTGTCAACAAAGCAGGGCTTTGAACTATACACAGATTGGTTTAGTACATGGTCTTGTCATGGCTAAAAAGGTAAGTGTATTAAAGGCCTTCTAACAAACAAAAACCGTGAATTACTGTGACAGAGATAATTTTTTATTTAAATGGCTATCCCTCTGTGGAATGGATGCTTTTTTTTACTTTGTTCGACATTTCTTAAATTGAGTGAGAAGTAATTATAATCTACTGAAAATGCAGGTACTGTTCAGTATCTACATTTTATTTTGGAGAAGCAAATAAAAGAGATTTCTTCCTTTCAAAGAGAAAACTGGTAGACTGCTGTGCTTTACATAGATTTCTATAGTTTTTTAAATCTCCAGGTGATATAAAGGCACAAAAATTCCTTTTACTCCTGTTCTGAAGTAAACATAGTGAGGAACAGTTTTTACCTCATATTGCAAGGTGTGATTATTGCCTATTTTTTTGCATGACTAGTTCTGAGTTAAATAAGACCTCCAGCATTCAACTCAGAATTTTTCCTGCCTTAAAGAAAGAAGTGAAAGACTGGCTTCAGGGTGGAGATTGATGGAATTGTCTAAATGTCAATGATAAGTTAATAGTTGCTCTTAATTCTGCTTTTTCTGACACAGTGAAATGATTTTTAAAAAAGCAAGTGGTTAGAACCAGAGGTTAATAGTAGACAACACTAGAGGAAAAAAGGGTGAAATGCTTTTCTCTTAACATCAGAATAATTTACTTTAACTTGCAATGTCAGGAGAATGGCTAGAATGACTCCCTTAATGTGTTTTTTGATATTTTTAGTTTTCAGTTCCCTTGCCCGAATCAGAATTATTCTTAGCCTTTTGAAATTCTGTCCTTTTGCTTGAACTGAACTAAGTCACAACAAAGTGGAAATAGTCTTAAACAAAAGTAAGAGTTATAAAGTAATTTCACAGCATGGATCTTCAATTCTTGGTCATAACAGAAGAAGAAAATAATCTGACTCTTTCATTGAGCTGCATGGTTCTGCTGTCAGCACTTGGTGGTTTTGCCCTGCTCTCCATGTAGACAAATGTGGTCCACCACAATGGAACTGTTATCTGTTTGTGCTACAGTAAAGCCTAGTTAGTAAATTGAATTCTTGCTACATTTATATATTTATCATAATTTTTAAGTAGGCAAGCTTTTAATTTTTAAAGCTTAAGTTTCCAGTATCCCATAAAATACCTTTCTTTATCTTCAAGTCATGTTTTCTCTATGTTAAGCTCCTTACTTCTTGCCCTATCCGTTGTGGGCATGAATAAGGCTTATTACAACAACCTTTTACATAGTTGAGGCTGTTATCATATCTTCCCTCAGTCTTCTCTTTTTTCAGACTAAACAAACCAAGTTCTTTCAGTAGAGCATACTTGCTAGACTTCTGATCCCATTTGTTAAACTCCTTTCTACTTTTTCCCATTGATCCACCTCCTTTGTGATTAACAGTTATTGTAAAAAATTACATCCACTATTATAAATGAAATGATTCAAGAATATGAGTACTTATGTACTTACGAGAGAATTCTGATCACTTGATCACAGATGGTATGAAAGGTCCTCTGAGGAACTTTTAAAATCATAGGTACCCAGTATTGATGAACTAAGTATCTTCTGAGTTTTCTGCTGGCTTTGGAAGAGATCTCCAATTGCTATTTCAGCAATTACACGTTGTCATTGGACATGTGTCTAATTTATGAAAATGACAGTTATTTTTTGATACAGAATAGATGTAAAAATATGCATTTACCTTGCAGATGATAATTTTAAATAGGTTGTGATCAGATAGCTAGGAATGAATGCTATATATATATCTCGATGTATGTATAAAAAATATGTATAAAAATATTGTGCATATTTGTGATTTATTATATATACTGCATTGTATATATGTTGTGCATTCCTAAAAAAATTGGAAAAAATCTTACAGGAATTTTATGATTAAACAATATTGAGGTTCACAGGACTTGTTTGTATAAACAAAAGTAATGCTTCCAGCAAAGATTTTTGGGTGTGCTTATAGCGTGTCTTTCTTGAAATGCAAGATAACTGCACAACTCTTTTTCTTTGCTTACCTATATTTCTCAGTACATACATAGGTGCTGTGCTGATTGATCATTTCAATACTTTTCAGCAGAGATTTCATAGGAAAATTGCTATAATGAATTTTGATGTCCCTAACAGACTGTAGTCAAATATTCTATATAGTTTTTAGTTAGAACCTCAGGAAAAAGTAAGGACAGACATGAACAAGCTATTGGTAATCAATTTCTTTTTTGTATCTGGTAGGGATATCTGAGGTATCTATACTTACCTGCATAAGTATATATTTAAATTTTGTGAAGACTCACATCTGCATTGGAACTTACCTGAGGTGAAGATAGATAGCTTTATTTTTTTTCTAAGAGAACTGGAATATGTCTGGTAATATTTAGTGAATTTTAAATGCTAAGTTTTTATTCTCTGTTGTCAAAGAGTCAAAGCTTAAAAGGTGACTTGAATTATGAACTGTCTCTATATGTGCAACTTTTCAGTTTTGTTTAAACAACAGATGGTTGGTAGAAAACCTCAACTCCCTCCTGAGACTGCCTGTCAGTCTATTTTGCTAGTTTATGTCCCAGAAGTGATTTGGGAGCTTTTTTTGAGAAATCTCATTGCAGGCAGATATCAATGTACAATCTTTCATGGAAAAGAAAAGTCATATGACATCAGGAATACCATGTTACTTGGTGATAGAAGAGTGCTTTATTCTTCACCCAGCATACGTAGCCTTCAGGAGTGTACTTGGTCAAGTGACTTGATTCCAGAAGCATAACAAGCAGTCACATCACAGCACACTGTACTTCTCTACTAAAATATTTATGGATTGTAAGACCAAAAAGGACCTTTAAATTATTTAGTCTGCTCTTCTCTCAATATAAACTTTATATGCTATCCATCTACAGAACCCAGTAACTTGATGGAATTGAATAGTTTACGAGATGCCCAGCCATTATCTATGGGCTCAAGAACTTTCTTACAAGAGAGGCTTATTCTAATGATTTGTTCTCCCATCTGCTAAAAAATTACATT